AATATAATTTTTATTGTAACACAATAGTGATAATTGTTGAAAAGGTCTATTAGGAAGTAGCATAACATCTACCCCTGGCTATTGGCTGAAGGAATATGTATATATGACGAATCCACAAATTGCGTGTAGGCCCAACGATGTAAGCAGAAGTTGATCAACTTTTAGAGTATGCTTTGATTTTACATGTTAAACTAAAATTAAGGCTTCCTTTATAATTGGCACGATTCCATCTTACCAGTGCCAATTTATCATGGGCAAGAGATGAATGTGTGTCCAAAATGGTAATTATGGAATTTCCTGCACAAAACCAAACTTTTCTTTCCAAAGTTCTCAAGCTACATTCAGAGAATTTCGGACTTGTGTTTCAAAAGATATATGTAACACAGTAACTAAATGCGTGCCCCAATTTGAGTCTAGCAATTGCTGTGTTTTGACTTTAAACATAGCGCATTCTAAATTAGTTGAGGTTTTCTTCACTCCATAGGGCATTATCACGCCAAATGCGGTAAAAGTTTTAACAAATGGTTCAAAGATCACTATCTGGGGATCATAATTTCTCCATAATTTCCCGTTGCGTTAGTTAAAGAATTGAATTTAGCAAAAATCAATGTTATTTTAGTAGTTTCTATATAAATATAAGGGGATGTGGTATGATTGACAATGAGACAACTATCCACCAAAGTTCAAATAAAGTGGATGTAAGCAATTATAAGCAACCGAACGGACTTCAACAATGAGAAAAACCATACTGTATAGTCGGCCATTAAAGGCCCCGACAGAAAAAATATGAAACAGTTCAATTGAAAAAACTAACGGCCTAATTTATAACAAAACAATTTACGAAAAACAAATACGACCGACATGAACCAGGCTCCGGACTTGGGACAGTCACCTTAAGAATGTGGCGGGGTTAAATATGTTTGTGAGCGCTCAACACCCTCCCCCTAAACGGGGACAGTGGTGTAACAACACAACATAAGAACAAACTATAAAAATCAGTTGAAAAAGGCTTAACTCATCAGATTGATACAAAGCAGAAAAACATCCAACAACAACACAGACCGGACGTGGCAGAATATTTATCCATCCCTCATACCTAACAACAAAAAGGACACTAAGTACAGATCTGAGAGTACACGCAGTTATTGACAGCTAGTTCAAAGCCAATAACAACTAATAAAAAAAATCATGTATCTAAGACTAAAATATCAATCAATAAACACCCAACATCCAATGGATTTAGTGTAAAGACGTCATTAACAACCTGAAGTAAACATGACCTACTCAATTTCAGTACATTTGTACCAACCTGATCTTTTAGCGGCTTATCTGTACAAACAGAATCAAGAAGAAGATAGCTGTTGCTATGCAGTGCAATTTGTTGCTAATGTTTAATAATTTGTACATATCTGTATTGTCTTAAAATATCTATTGAAAGTTAAGTTAAAATTTTCATTAAATTTGTGGATGTAAAAAGGGGTCCGAGATTGCGGAATAGATATATCGAATTATTAAAAAAGCATAAGTCTGTTCCCTAGGATGATGTCCGTTGCTAGGTCCCTGAAAAGTGATTTGTCATATCAAGTTACAGAAAATATATAATTAATTTGTAAGTACTTGAAAAGAATTTATACATATTTTCAGATACAATGCACAAAAACGTGAACTTATTTTCAGGGCAATATAATAATATTGTATTTCTTCCCTTTTGCTGTTGTCTAGTAACCTTCTCTTTGGAATGAAGACATGGAAAACTGACTTATAAATAATAAATATGCAGGCTAAACATTATACAAAATAAATGGACTCAGAAAAAGCTGGTAACTGCTGATCATATTCATCCGAATATTTCTTTATTAAAACATTATCTGTACTTAGCCTACTTAAAATTGAACTCCATTAATAAGGAATGCATTTATTGCTAAGCAACAATTTTCTTTCAGATTGTTCGTTTATGACCTCAATGTGTGCTTATAGTCTTTACTTTATGATACAAAGTTTACATTTGATTAAATTGGGAAATCATATGTTCTGTAATGTTTTTATATGTTAGGTCAAGTGTGTTACGTAATTATATCAGGTTTACCTACATTTGTATTTACACAAATAGTCATTTAGTACAGTTAGAGATCATCAGAGATATTAATTAAGAGTTATATTTAGATTTCTTTGTTTGACTAGTGAGCCCTAATGATTTGCATATGGTGCCCTAGTAAATTTATGTAAGGAGCACGGAACACTAGGAGCCCGGATAACCGGAGCAGCCGAATAACCGGAGCACGGAATACACGGAGCTCGGTTGCCCTAGTATTCTATATTTGTATCCGGGCTTGTAGGAGTGATATAAAAGAGAGAAAGAGCGTGAGATAGGAGGAGAGAGAATTTATAGTGAGGAGAGGACAGTTACGTTTATAGTAGAGAGGAGAACCGTATTGTTGAGCCTGAAGTTAAATGTACATTTTGTTATTGTCGTGTGATTTTGATAATACAGTATTGAACTTTTATTCGACTTCGTGTTTATGTTCACTTACAAGAATTCGTTCAGACTACACCAGGATCCATTTATTTATTTATGTGACCAGGATTCCCTTAATCACGCTATAGCTACCAGTAGATTTCTAGGGTAATCCTGTAAAAGTGTATCATTGGCATTTGTCGCCGGTCCGTGTACGAGTGAAAGGCACGACCTGAAACTCATACACCCAACAACACAGCACAAACACACGTGTGTACACTTTAGTTAAAGTTGCATAACGGGCAACATTTTCGTCACAGTTCCTTAAAAATATTTCATTGAGAAATTGAGCTCAAAAATTGTTTAACTCTTCTTTTTTTGTAAGGGACACAAATTTACATTTTTGAATACTTACCTAATTTTATTTTTCAAATAGTTGTGTGTACCTATGCTATCAAGAATACAATAAGGGGCAATTAAAATTGCTATCCGGATTTTTAAATGAAGGCAATTAAATGTTATGTTAATTACTCAATACTGTACAATTATATCAAGGCAAGATGTCCTCTTTATGATATAAGAGTTGAAAGATGACATTTTAACAGTATTGATTTCCTCCTTAACTTTGAAAAATGCATAGTCTTCTTCTTCTTCTGGTTAAGTGTAGGACTCATTTTGAGTATATTCACACTGACGCATACGTACCATAGCAGTACAGCCCTCCTCTATATACAGTTAAAAAAGAGTATTTACAGTTAAAAACCAATCATTACAATTTAGGAGACGGTGGAGGTAGCCAGTGCCTGTTTGAACCCATCGAGGGTTGGCAAACTGACTAGTGGCTGTGGCAGGTAGTTCCAAATTCTGATGGCACTCGGGAAGAAGGAATGTTGGTATACTAGGGTTCGACAGTGTGGTTGGAGGTATTAGTTTACCACGTTTTTGAGTAGTATTTTGACAACTGAGTATCCAAGGAAATGAAATTTGTTGCCATGGAAACCAGCGGATTTGAAAAAAATAAAACCATTTTCTTTTTTGTGTTACATTAAATGGAACACATCATTAAACATCAATTTTATGTAAAAAAAAATTATTTTTTTTACATTCTATTCGAGTCAAAGCTGACATGGCCTCTGAAAACCCGATTAGTGCAGTTATATGGTCACGTGAGTGATTATATATATAGGCCTAATTTCGTCCTTGAAATTGTCTTGTCGGGTATTTTCTTTATTGTTTCTTTATTGCATCTGGGACAAAATATATTAGTATAAAAGTCCCAGATTGGATATACTTTTTTCTCAACTCGTATCGCTTTCCGGATTTTATTCATTTCCATTACGGGTACGTGTTAAAGGGGAGATAAAAACATGTGCATCAACAGAAATTGTAATGAAATTTAGTCTTATTTACATATTCTTTAAATGTGACCTTTTAATCCGTATATTGCATTCCTTTGGCATATTTATGTTGTTGAAAGGACTTAAACCACATATTGAAAGGGACAAAGAACATTTTTGAGCTTATTCGGACCTGTGCACTGCTGTCACTTGATATATCCCGCAATGGTGGTAAGTCGTGCACTTGAGGCCATTTTTTATTTTATTTTTCTGTAGACTTAGCTTTGATTTTTTATTACTGTGTATTGTCAAGCTTGGTTACTCATTATTGTTTCTCAGTCACTGAATGTACGATGTTGTTCCATACTGCAGCAGCTGACCCGGTTTGTTTACATTCAAATTCTAATGGCTTCAAAACCACGTGACACATTGAATCGTTATATCCAATCAAATTGCTCTACTGTCAATTAGGTGATTTTTTAGTACAAGGCAATTATATAATTTGTTTGTATGATATTGCTTTGAAATAGTTTGCAATAAATTGGGGGTTTATTCAATAGGAAACCTCATTATTAGCCATGAAATTTGATATCAATGGAATTTTATATGAATATTTACTTATGGTCAGAATATCGATCTCTTTATATTGAACCAATCTTTTTTTTAATGAAAAATATATGTATATTGTTTTTTTATTAACCTACTCTATATTCCTGACCAAAAATATGGCATGATTATCGTTTGTTTCCCAAAGTTCTTCTTTCATTTTGGATGGGTTTTTTTTGCGGGAAAATCGATTAAGACGTAAGGTGCTTGCCATTTTGAAATTCTTGAAAATACGATTTGCTTGGCCTGTTTGGTCTGCCATTAAGATTGATGACGCTTAATGGAATGTAAACAAAGCAATGGAGGCCAGAAGAGGGGATTTCTGAAGTTCTGGAATGTTTTTAGGCATTCGGAAGTCAGGTTTGAAACGGCCATTAGAAAATTGGCATTTTTGTACAATTCTTTAGAATAACAATGAAAACATATCTTTAGAAATGTTTGTTTATTTAGAAGAGTAGAAAAAATGTATTCTGTACTAATTTTGTACGCTGGTATTAGCGTAGTGACGTCAATGCGGAGTTTTCCCGTGTGATAAGTACAATAACAAAATCCGAACGAACCAACATTATGACCGATTATAGACTACGGTAGGATACTGATAGGTTTCAAGACAAGAATATAAAAAAAATGTAAAAATTATACCATTACACAGTTACATTAACATTTTTAACTTATAAATATAGGCGTTTTCATTATGAAATTGTTAACAAGGTTCAAAGACAAAACTTATCTTCAAAATGTTCATGTACAAATACAAATACAAATATTTTTATTGGCACAAACTCATTAACTATAAATGGTTAAGACCTATTGCATATATATAATTATATTAATTGACATGGTAGAATTAAAAGTTACATGATAACATATGATAGAATGAAAAGTTACATATTGATGTATCATATTAGTTCGAATCACTATTCCTTATATTTAGACACTCTGATATGAAAGAGGAAGACAGTCTAAGTAATAATGCTGAGCTATTGTTAACCAATAGAGATATTTTTTCATCAGTGGTAATGTTACGCTGTATTTTAAATATAACATTTATTTTATCTTCTAATATTTCTCGTTTTGAGGTAAATCTATTACATTGTAATAAGAAATGTTGTTCATTTTCAATTTCCAATTTCCAATTTCCAATTTTGTTAAGATACCACATTTGTATTGTGATTAAATCACAGGCACTCGGCTCTGAAAAAAAATATTTATGCAGTATACCTTAATATAACCTGATAACACAAGGTACTCGAACTCACATTTTTGGAGAAATGGCACCTGGTTGCATACTTCCTTTATAAATTATATGTAGATTACATGGGTGTCTATCCTACTAAAACCTGTTGTGTTGTAAATCTACTGAGATGCAAAAATTTTCATTTCACTGTGAGAAGACTAGTTTATTTACGGTTGACCTACTTGGAGGGCCTGCTATGAATGATACCCACAGCAGAAATAGGCATGTTTATACACCTTTTTGTAGATTATTTAATTTATATTAAAGATATAATGGTTTCAGTGGGATAGACAACCTCAGAATTGAAATATAACAGAAGTTCATGTATCTTTTCTCAAAAATGTACCTTGTGTTATATTAAGCAGAAAGGTTAAAAAAATTCAGAGACAAGTGCCTGTGAATTAAATGTACTGATCAAAACTTGATGCCAACAAACACATAAGACCTATGCATGTTACATCTTTTAAAAGAAATAACAAAGAAGATGACTGTGGAGAAATACAAGTCTCATTGGCAATTATACCACATCTTATTTTTATATTTAGGAAACTGAGAGAGAAAGAAAGCATAGGATTTTCAACAATGTTGATAAAATACATTATAATCAAAGTATCTTTTTTCTATTCTGTTACACATATTTGTCATGATATGATTGTTCACTCTTTAATTGTAGATGTTACACAAGTTACATGTAGATAATTCAACTACCTGAAAAAAGCTAGAAAGATAGTATGGCAGAAAATGAACATGCAAGAAGAGAGTTACAACAAAAGCAGCATTATTTTTTGCAGAGTGAATTACAGTCAATGTCGCGAGATCTTCCAGGGTAAAAAACTTTAGATAATTATAAATTGTTTTGAAAACAAGAGAAAGTGTCTCAGCTATAATTTCATCAAAGGGTTATTGCTCTGGGATGATAAGTAGCTGAGGAAATTCCTGGAGTTTGAAACACAAAACAATATATTATTCATGTTGTTGTTAAGATACCACATTTTTTTTTAGACTATATTATGTGTACAAATGTACTTATGACTTTAAAGATTTGTATAAGCATGATAAGGAAAATTCAGGTGAATTAATATTACTATAATATTGGGAAATCAGGTAATTATGACAAGTCAAGTTCCAGCTGAATTCATGTGAGCTTTGGCTAGTTTACAAACACTTATCAGTCAGGGGACTTATTGAAATAAGTGATTTTTAAATCACTTATTTAAAGGGGCACTAGCTGTCAAATTCATGTTCACCGATTTGACTCAAATTCTCATATTTGATTTATAACCATGTAAAACATTTATCCAAGTCTTAAATGAACAATTTACAGGACATGGGCTCGATAATATGTAGCTTCGTTTCGTGTGTATTTTAGTCTTGACGTCATCTAATTAACTATCGAGTTGACCTCCGAAAACCTCTGATGGTCATATAAGCGATATAAACATAAATATAGATATAAATACAAAGCGAACACGTGCAATTGGATTTTTCTAGGTCTGTTTAATTTCATATTATAGATTAATATTATATGTTAATCATGGTTTTTACCTGTAAAAGAATGATTTTTTTGTGGATTGAATCAGTCAATCAAATGATTTACCTTTGTTTCACTTTCAATGTTGACATTCTTTTCCTTTAGATAACCGATCATGCACACTGCATGCGTTATCCATCTCTAGGTAAGGGGTTAAATTTAAGTTCACGTGAATACGGATTCAATGAAGTCGAATTATTCACTTGCAAGTGAATAATTCATCATCAATGTTTCTTCGCTTAATTTAACAAAATTGAACCATACTGGCTGCTAAAAGCGAATTATTATTTCACTATTTCACTTTCATTAATGATTGAACAAAAAAAATCATACTTTAGATTTTTTATATATCTCGTAGCTAGTGCCCCTTTAAGTAGCAAATTCGAAGTTTTGTCGCAAATTGTGATTTTGTAGTTTTACCAAAATTTTAAACACATAGGTTTAGATAATATCTGTTCATTAGTAAAATTGAAAAAAATTAACTTTTTCTTTTAAGCAGCCTTTGATGCAATCATTTAGCTGCAAATTCTATTTTAGTTGAAAAAATGCTATAAAAATGGCTTTATATAATGAACTGATACTTTCTTAACAGATTTTTCCCAGCAGTGGGAGTATTTTTCCTGTAAAATTCAAGGTTTCATATAGATTATGTAATAAAATTCTACTGTTCGAATTTAACTGTTCGGGGTGTTGAAATTAGTGGGGGTTATTAAAATAATGATACTTAAAGAAGTGATTTTTTTTAAGGAAATTGAGGTATGATACTTAAACTAGTGATTTTTAAGTCATTATCCTAGATTTAGTACAAGGTCATCACCTGACATGACCCGGTCATCCTATCAACACAGATGTTGGTTCTGATAATTTCAGCAACATAATTAGTCCCTGGATCATTAGTATTCTATATTTAAAGCTACAATAAAATTAAATCACTTAGTTTAGTGATTAATTTGTACAACTTAAATAGGTGATTATTAAAGAAAGACAACTCTTACTTCCAACCTTTATGGCCATAATGTTACTTGAATCAGTGATTTAGAAAATCCCTCATTTAAGTAAGTCCCCTGACTGCTTATGGCAAATATGTCTTAAATGAATATAGCTTAAAGCATAGTTCAGTATAAATAGTCAATAAACAGTAAAAGGAAAACAATAGTCCCAAAATAGTAATATTACCAGTAATAGAACTTAAATGTTTATAGCAAGTACACAAACAAATAGCTTGTGAAATTCATATGATAACATAGATGATGTTGGAATTTGCAATAGTAATAAACCAGACATTAAAGGATAAGTAACTTAATTTTCATATTATCTTTAAATACCAAATTCTCCAAATGATTAAAACACAAGATATGACAAAAGACTACATTTACTAACATTCCTAACATTGGCCAGATACATGCGGAATATGAAAAAGAAGATGTGGTATGATTACCAATGAGACAACTCTCCACAAGAGACCAAATGACACAGAAATTAACAACTATAGGTCACCGTACAGACTTCAACAATGAGCAAAGCACATACCGCACAGTCAGCTATAAAAGGCCCCGAAGTTTTATACTAATTTGTTTTCTGATATCACTGATTAAACTGAATTATGTGCTTACCACATTGTTAATATTAATCATAAATTGTATACAATAATATCATGTGTCAGAATATAGTTTTTTGTCTCGCCTTGACGGAGTCAAAAAGCGAGACATAGGTATGCTGTTTCCGACGTCGGCGTCAACAATGTATTAGTTTGTGATTAGGTCTAGTTCATGGTGAACCACTAGTGGTAGGTCAATGATATTTGGTATGCAGTTGAATTAGCATTGGCACATCTCATTACCATGGAGAATATTTGGCCCTGCCCCCTCAGTCAAGGTCTATTGACTTTGAAACTTTTTATAGTTTACATGTATTAGTTTGTGATTAGGTCTAGTTCATGGTGAACCACTAGTGGTAGGTCAATGATATTTGGTATGCAGTTGTATAAGCATTGGCATATCTCATTTCCATGGAGATTATTTGGCTCCGCCCCCTTAGTCATGGTCTATAGACTTTGAAAATTTTGCTAAGTTAACATGTATTAGTTTATGATTAGGTCAGTTCAAGGGGAACCATTAGTGGTAGGCCAATGTTAATTGGTGTTCAGTTGTATAAGCATTAGCACATCTCATTTCCATGGAGAATATTTGGCCCCGCCCCCTCAGTCATGGTCTATTGACTTTGAAACTTTTGCTTAGTTTACATGTATTAGTTTGTGATTAGATCAGTTTAAGATGAACTGCTAATGTTAAGTCAATGATATTTTGTATGCAAATTTATTGGCATTTGCAAGTATCATTTCCATGGAGATTATATAGCCCCACCCCTGATCATGGTTCAATGACTTTGAAACTTTTACATAGTTTACAAGTTAATGTTTGTGTTTAGGTTTGTTTAAAGGGAACGACTTATAATAAGTCAATGGTATTTGGTATGCAGTTGTATTAGCATTGGCACATCTCATTCCATGGAGATTGTTTAGCCATGTACCTTCAGTCATGGTTCATCGACTTTGAATATTTGCATAACTTAAATGTTAAAGTATTGCTATTTTAATTTCAACATTTGCATTATCAAAATTACAAAAAGGTGAGACATATCTCTGTGATAACAGTTTATATTATTGCTGTCTGTATTTGGATCATTCTATTCTTATAACATATATGTATCTGTATGCCCCACAAGGGCTCCAAATTGGAAATTAAATATGTTTAATATTTGATGTTTTATAATGATAATGTTGTTTATTCATGACAAATTGTTGATTCATAAAGAGATTTGAGATGAATTAATTTAAACATTAAATACATTTAGATTTATACAAAATGTACTTCATAACATATCTTTGTCTAATTATTCTTTATCTGTTTTAGAAAATTTCAGCAGAGACTTCCCTATGATTTATTATCAAGTTTAGCTAATGCTTTACTGGATGGTACTGTCTTTGAAATTGTGCGTAGTCTACAAGAAGTACAACATTTAGAGGAGAAACATTTGTCTTCTCAGAGAATGAAACTGATAAATGATCACAAAGGTAAGTTCAACAGTTAAACATGAGTTAAGTAAGTAAAATAGGTTAACCAGAAATTTTCATGAACCAAGTGTAAATGTTAACTATGAATTATAACAAGGTAAGTGTAATATACTAAACGGAACAAAGATAAGTATAACAGATTTTATCAGAAATCATAACAAGTCTTGTATGTTTTTTAATTTTAGTTCATTTATATGTTTTGGAGTTTAGTGTGACGTCCATTTTCATTGAACTAGTACACATTTTGTTTAGGGGCCAGCTGAAGCCCACCTCCGGGTGCGGGATTTCCTCGCTGTGTTGAAGACCCATGTGGCCGTTGGCTGTTTTCTGCTGTTTGGGTTGTTGTCTCTTTGACACATTCCCCATTTCCATTCTCAATTTTATGTATAGCAGTGAACTAGAAATTTTCACAAACTATAGTTAATCATGAACTATCACAAGGCAAGTCTTGCAAATATAACAAGTTAATCATCAATTATCACAAGGGAAGTATAACTTGTACATGTATGCACAGTTTTCATAAATGATGGCATTGACAATTTAAACGAGTCAATCAAAAAGGATCAACAAATAGAACTGTTAAACCAGAATCTAGTTAAACTGTATGTGCAGCTGTGGTAATGCTCACAAAGTAAGGTACAACTAGAATTTGATCCATAAAGCCAGGATATCAGGTTGACCATTATGTTGCAGTTCTGATTAAACTACCAGTATCTACAATCATTTTGAAACACAATTTGTATTCTCAGTATGTGAATTTTTGTATGTAAATGTGTAATGAAACAAATAACTACATTTCAAATGTAAATTACAATTCTGATGTCTTTGATGTGTTTTTATATACATTACCACACGAGATATTGAAAGTGCAAGATGTTGGTTCAAAATTTTGAAAGTTCATATAAAAATCAGAAGACGTAGTATGATTGCCAATGACACAAATATCCACCAGATACCAAATGATGTAGAATTCATGCATCTGTTGAATTGTACACATAGTTTCTTAACTTCACAGCTGCATAGTAAATGTAAACTTTTTGCAAACTTTGTTTCTCTGGTCAATGCTTTGTATCAAATCTAAATAGAAATATGAAAATATTTCTGTAGCATTTGTATATTATTATGCTAGACTCCATGTCAAAGTGTTCAAGTCTTGTTTGGTTTGTTAAATTAAGTTGCATTATATGTCCATTGACAGACGAAAACTACATTATTGATACTACATGTAATACTGAAAGAATGGAAGTAAACACAAAAGTTATAAGTTTATATCATATACTGTAAATTCAGAAATTATTGCGTGCATTTATTATTGTGATTTTCGAAAAATGGACAAAAATGCAGGATTAATAATCGCGATTTCAGGAAAATTTCCATACAGATATATGTATCAGATACCATAATGCGAGTTTTTATTTTGCGATCTTTACCCAGTTGCATTATTCGCATTAATAAAAACCTCGCAATAATTTCTGAATTTACAGTACCCAATACTGTAAGAATACTCTATCATTACTTGTATATGTATCCCATAGATAATGTATAATGAGCTATGGATAGTAACAGTATAACTGTATAAATTAAGTGTCTTCTTGAGTAAAATAAGGTTTTATTATATATGTTGCTACATAGTACAATGCTTTGGTACAAATGATTTAAAGGAGGTATTGGGTAAATGTCAGTGTGACAGGAAAAAAAATAAGAAAATTTCACTAAAAACAGACATCTGTGTGTATAAAGAAAACATAAATTGGTATGTCCATGTATATTGTTTACATTGTTATGTACAAAATATTGATGAACTATCAGCAATAAGGATGTTTACAGAATGTTGATATGACGATAAGGATATGGGGTATTATTGCCAACGACACAACTTCACCAAAGACCGAAGAATAAGGATAAAACAACTACAGGCCACAATACGGCCTTCAGCAATGAGCACAAACCCATACCATATGGAAAGCTAATCCATTGGATAACAAATGTAAAACAAAAGGAGAGTTCTGGGATATTTGTTGTTTCAAAGTAGAGATTGAAAAAGTTGTATCATGTGACATTTTTCTTTGCACATGCCTACTTTGTACACTGCGAATTAAGCAAATGTGATAATCTAATCATATTTCGATCTAAAAAAGTCGACCTTGCTGTTCTAGTTTGATTTCCTTAACCTGATGAAAACCTACTATGTAAAAAACAGAAACTTTATCAAAATCTAAAAATAACAACTTGTATACATTATTGATACTTAAAATGTTATTGGGTGTTATGTATAATGTATACAAGCTGAAGCCCCACCTATCTATTGATTGCAGATGTCAATCTTTATTACAATGCTTGAGCAAACATTTATACAAACAAAGCAAGCAAGCCAACCAGACCTTTAAATTGCTAGCATTAGGATAACAGCTTTAACGCAATTTAGATGTTCAGCTACATTCCTTAATTTTGATCTCTTTCAAATAAATATTGTATCAGATCCATCTTGTTGCTGTGGGTTTCCCCGCAAAGATTCTAATCATTTCTTCTTTAAATGTCCTTTATATACAAATTTACGTCACATTCTTAGGAATAGTCTTAGTTAGTTACGCGATGACCTTGTGTTGGATCTAAAATTAATAACATCTGGTAGTATAAATCTGACAAATGAGCAAAATGAAGAAATATTTAGAAATGTTTTTGATTATATAAAAAAAGACCAAAAGGTTCCTTGTTTAATCATGTGTATAAGATGAATGTAATGATCCACACACACACACACACACACATATGCATATTTTTTTTTCCTTCCTTCTATCTTTCCTTTTTCTATTCTATTTCTTAATATGTCACTTAAATTACAGATGTTTGATTATATATTGTGCAATAATAAATTTGATATTTACTTGCTATGAAATTATATTGTCTAATATTGTATCTTAGGAGAAGACAATCTAAGTTGGACTAACATGTGTCTAATCCTTTTTGTGAGTTTTTTTTGCAAATAAAATATGTTTAAACTAAAACCTACCGTAAGGTGACATCGTCCAAATGGTGATGTTTTCATGCATAAGATGTCGTACTGATCCTAATGCTGCATAGATTTCTGACATTATCATGAGTCGTTTCTGTGTAAAATGTAATCAGACACAGTAAAACAGAGGATCTCAGAACTAAAGTATTCAAAAGAGAAAATACAGGGCCTGATTTATGCTTACAACAGTAAACAAAAAACAATAATGACACACAGCAACCAACAACTGCTGGATAACAGGCTCCTGGCTTGGGACATGTGGAGGGATTAAACATGTTTGTGAGCATCAACCCTCCCCTAAGTTTAGTTTTTACATGTACAAATGTTCCTATTTTATTACTAATACAGTTTTATGATGCACTGATCTGAAATAATATTATCATTTGATACTTGTAGCATTTCTAAACAGCTGATTGACAAAATTTATTTATTTTCATTATATAGCACAAAGACATGAATTACAGAAACGACACAAAGAACTTCTTCAAGCCTGCCAGACAAAACCCCACAATCTTCCTATAGTAGAGGTCCAAATTGAAAGAGAAAAAGAGGTACAAAAATAAATATTCTATAAATATTATATGATTCATTATCAGTTTTGAGAAAGGTGCAGTCTTTTAAGTTCTTCATCACCTTCTGTGTAGCATGGTCAACACATAGTCATAACCATTTACCATAGTATTTTTCGTCATCATTTGGGGGCCTCGGTGTTTGAGTGGTCAAAGTAGTCAAACTACTGTATCACTAGCCTGTCAACACTGAGGTTGTGAGTTCAAATCCCACTCTTGGCAGGTGTGCTGGACTCCAATCATTATTGACTAGGAATGTCAGTTTTCCTACCAAAGGTCGTGGTCCTCTTCTAACACACCGGCTTCATCCACCAATAAAGATTGACCGCCACGAAATAACAAAATAGTGCTGAAAGTGAGTTAAACACCAATCAATCAATCAATCAAGTCATCATCATTTGAAAATTGTTGACGTATAGTTTTCAATAAACAACACATCCTAAATAACCTTACATAAAAAGACCAAACTTTCATGGACTTGACTAACAGGAAGTAAAGTTAATATGAAGTTAGTTATACTTAAATTTAGGATCACATTGATAAGTGAGGGTTTCTCATAGCAAAACATAGAGATTCAATGTTGTTGTTTTTTTTTTCAAATGGGAACAAATGTTTAAATCACAACTCTCCTATACCACTTATAAACTGAAACAACCAAAAACTTAAAATGACTTTTGCAAATCTGTTTCACATCTCTACTGTAGCAGTGAGTCTAAAAAAAACAAAAAAACAAGCACTTCCTCTTTATTGGTAGTTAAATTGGGCTTCATCTATTTTTGTCCCCCGTGCAACGCGTTATCAGGGACATAGAAATACTGGGCATTCATCAGTGCGTTTGTCCATCTGGTCTTGTTAGTGCTTTCACGTGTACAATTCTAGGCAGATTTTCATAAACTTAAATCATAGGTTCATATCAGCAATGTCAAGTTTGAAAATCAGTGAGGATCAACTATTTTTAAAAGAGTTGTGGCCCTTGGAAATATAAAACAATATGGAAAATTAATTGTTAGGGCTCTATTCTTGCCAGATTTTAATGAAACTTATATGATAGGTTTATATCAGCAATGTCTCAGACAAGTTCGAAAAATCAGTAACAATCAATTATTTTTAAAAGAGTTATGCCCCTTGGAAATATTAATTATATGGAAAATTGCATTATTGGCACTCTCATGTGTACAATTGTTGCCAGATTTTTATCAAATTTATATTAAAGGTTTATATGAGCAATGTCTCAGACAAGTTAGAAAATCAGTATACTGAGGAATAGTAACAAATCCTTTACGAGACCTTCTGTTTTTCATTTAAGTTGCACTGTTAAGGCACAATATTCTTTGCTATTTAAGGGCATACAATACAGTTTTGGTCCCACAGTGAATTTTTTGACAAAATTTGCATTCAAGCTATTTTTCACAGAGTCAATTTAAATATGTAATTATAAAAAAAAGTATACCTTCATGTGCTACTTTTAGTGATAAATAGGGTCGAAATTTTTGACATTTTCTTAAAATGTTGATTTCTTGGAAATTTCTATCCTTTGGACAGACCAAGGATTTGTATTTGTATAGTGAGACTCAGTATACAAATCCTTGGACAGACATACCTAACTTTTTATGCCCCCGTCGTAGCGGAGGAGCATTAAGTTTTACCCTTGTCCGTCTCTGTACGTCCCAAAATTGGTTTCTGTTCTCTAACTTGATGTTGCCTCAATCAAATGTTATGAAACTTATACACAATGCTAATTACCACAAAACACAAATCAAGTTTGAATTTTGCTGGTGTCACTTTAACCGTTCTAGAGTTATGCCCCTTTATAAATGGGTCAGTCCATTTACACAGTGCTTTAGTGTTATAGCAGGGAAAACATATAATATTTTTTTGTAAGGAGCAATTGAATGCTACAAAATGGGCAAACATGTTGCTGATATAATGAAGAGATAGTATGAATAATTATATTTTGGTTGGTTGTCAACTTTTTTTTATAATAAAGATTATATTTCAAAAAGGCCTTATTTTTACCCTTTTTAAATGGGACAATTAATACATCACCATGTATAAGATGAAAAACAAATATGTTGAAAAAATATAGGGTGAATGATTTTAATTCATTTCAGTTCTTATTAGTGTGTTTTTTGTCTTAAACTACTTGTTTTTGTGAATTTGATTTGTGAAAATGGATGATTTAAAACATTTTAATATGCTGTTCATGTGATTACATTCCGTCAAATTTACATTTACAGAAAATTATTCGTAAGGCACATAACAGCTGTCAGTTGAAAGTTAATGTGTATGAAAACAAAGACGTTTATAGTTGACCTATTTGTATTTAGATAATATTGACACTGTTATTTCTTGTATGAGGAAAAAAAAAGAAAGAAAAACGCTTCTTTCGAATGTCCGTCAACATGAAGGACAACGAACGTGCACATTATTTTCATTATTATCCACTGTTTACACGAGTCATTATTTAGGACAATTGCTTATATTGGAAGTTATCATCATTGCCTTGTTCTGAACGATTATGACAACGTAGGGTAGCGGAATCTGCCGAGGTTTACCGATTGTACTTTGTCCATCAACACTTCACAGCATTACAACGTATGAACAATTTATCACAAATGTACACAAAATCGAGAAGGAATTGTCTTATACCTGTTTCTATATCCTTTAAAAATATTTAGTACTTAAAAACCAAGATATATACGTCTGTTGCCAAATATGAACATATGAAGCTTATCATATCCCGATGGTACTTACAAATAGAAATATTAATTTCTTTGGTTCATAAATTAAAATAAAAAAAAATTTATTGAATCTTGACTTTATTTTCAACTTTATTCATGTAACTAGAAGAAAATTCAAGCAATGCACATATGTGATGTTGTCAATAATCACACATGTTATTTATAAATAAAATTGTTTAAACAGACCGTTTTTGCCATATAAAAATAAGATGTGGTATGATTGCCAATATGACAACTCTCCACCAGAGACCAAATGATAACAAAGTTAATAGCAATTATAGTTCACCCTATGGCTTCAAAACCGAGCAAAAGCCCACACCGCTTAGCAAGCTGCAAAGGGCTCCAAAATCATAAGTTTAAAAAAAAAATCAAATGTAAAAACCAAAGGCCTGATTTATGAACAAAACTATAAAAAAAAAAAAATTGATAAACAGCAACAAACGACAATCGGGACAGACACATTTAGAAATTGACATTGAAGGTCAGTTGAGAACTAAACTTTACGACAAAAAAGATGATTTCAGCTTCCAAATTGTGAACTTTCCATTTCTGTGAAGCAACATTCTAGTAGCGCCTGCATTTGAAGACCATATCTCCCAGTTGGTACGATATTCCAGAGCTTGCATTTCCTATCATGATTTCCTTGATAGAGGATTGCTGCTTACAAGGAAGCTATTAAAGCAAGAGTTCCAAAAGGTGAAGTTGAAATCATCCCTTGGAAAATTGTAAGGTCACACTCATGAGTTGTTGACCGTTATGGAATATCTGTTTCACAGATGACAATGGTTATGTTCCAATTGTCGTTACCACAATCCTGACCCCATATTTCATGAATGTCACCTACTGAATAAGACTTATCACTGGGCTTCTACTTACATGAGCAACAGAACGGATATCACATGTGGAGCAGTATCTGCTTACCCTTTCGAAGCAACTGAGATCTACCCCGGTTTTTGGTTTGATTTGTGTTGCTTAATCTTTAGTTTTTTATATGTTGTGTTTTGAAGACTGTTGTTTTGTTTTTTAAACTTTTTTCGTTTTTTGCCATGTCATTGTCAGTTTGTTATCGGCTTATGAGTTTGACTCTTCCTTTTCCTTTGGTATCTTCCGCTTCTCTTATATACTGATCAAAACGTTTGCTACAAGACTAGGTATCTCAACTAGGTTCTTACACTGTTGTCAATATTCAAAGTACATTAGTTCATATCAGGAAAATGCTCCTCCAATCACCACATTCTTATATCATGTACATTGTGTTTCATTTGCATTGATTTGTCCTGTTTGTGTATAATTTATCAAATTTCAGAATGGGGCCTCTTATAATACTGCAGAATGGAAGTGGAACATCAAAAATATTGTCTCACTGTGATATTAAATACTTGATTATAATAAATATGCATTTAATATTGAATTGCAGAAACTATAAATCCTAGGATAAATATCCATACTTAATTAATTAGCATATACGATTAAATTGAATCTAGAAAATCAAAAGATAAATATAAATGTTGTAAAAAGTCACATATTTTATACCAGATGTCAAAATGTCAAGTCACATATGTTTTTTTTCCTTTTTCCTTCATAATTTCATTAAACGTGTGTTAAAATATAATTCCCATTACATTTGTAAAATATAAATTGTCACTTTATGGCAATACTTTTGGGAGGATTTTTTTACAAATAATAAATCAATTGGCAAAATATTGGTCACATATGCTGTATCAAAGAAATAAAAAAAAATCACTTCCCCATCTTCATTTGGTTAATTGTTTCAATTTAAATGACATCTACTGTTGTTTCTTAGCATTGTTGACACTGCTTTCAAAGTGAAGAAGATTTCATAACTAATATTTTTTTAAATGAATATTTGACATGTCACATATGTTACAAATGTTTATTTGTAAAAGAAGGCGTCCAGAATCAATTTTATAATGGTCAAACTATCTTCTGTTGTATTTTTCTGGATGCTTTGGTATATCCTCTTTCTGAATCAATTTTTTTTTCAATCTGTGTCACATTCTAAAATATAACTATGATGTCCCATTTAATTTTATGTCATGGCTTAATGGACAGACCCAAATGGAAAAATTGCAAAATTCTTAGTTTCCGTTCTCTAACTTTAGTTTGCCTCAACCAAATGTTATGAAACTTATACACAATGCTTATTACCACAAAACACAGATCAAGATTTAATTTTGGTAGCGTCACTCTAACTGTTCTAGAGTTATATCCCTTTATAAATGGAAAAAATTGCAAAATTTTTAGTTTCCATTCTCTAACTTAATTTGTTTCAAAAGATAAACAAAAGCAGATTTTTGTAAAAGCATTTGGAATATCTTCTTTACATAAGTATGCTCTAAATTTGTGTAACAATTCTTTGGAAATAATTTATTTTATTAAATTTTCATGATTTTAGAAAAACCAGCCATCTTTTGCTGTATATTTATCCAATTTAAAAAAAGTTCATTGGAAATGTCATTTTTAAAAAGAGGAGTCCATGTACTCATTTATAAGTTAATGGTTAAAATCAGTTGAAAAATGCACCTTTTTCTGATATGTCATAGTTTGAAGTCGCAAAAACAATATATTACTTTAGCAAAGTCATTACCCCCCTCCCCTGTAACTGCATTGTATGCCCTTAAGAGGTAGGTGTGTCATGACTAATGATAATTTTGGATAATTTTAAGGGAAGTCATTGCCTCTTTGTTAAATATAAATAAGTAACATTTGTACACTATTGTAGACCATGGAAAAAAGATTGGAGGATGAAGTCAAGAAAAGAGACATGAAAATTATTATGGACCTGGACCAAAAAGTAATGGACCAACAAGTAATGCTTGAAAGAGCTGGGGTACCTGGCTTCTTTGTTACAAACAATAGACAAGACATCCGCTTACAAATGTACTTGCTTGAGTTTATGAATAGACTAAGATTTCTGGATTTGCCTAGTTGATGTTTAGAGTATTTAGTTTTGTCATTTGCTAATTTATTTTCACTACATTACATTTAGGTAACTAGAATCTCACTGGAATTTAAACCTTATTTACAGAATAGGCCAACGAACAGTCTGCTCCTATAAACCAGGTTTCTGACCCATAAATCTTAACATTATCGATTGGAAATAATAATTTTTTTCCCTTATTGTTGCAGTTATAAATACATATATATGTATATATTGCAGTAATTCGCTGCTGCTTTATATTCATGATTTTGGTTTAAAATTCATAATAATAATTCTTCAAAATTTTACAAATCCTAGATACAAATCAATGAAATATTCTATTTCAATTTTCACTCACCTTGCTCAGAAGGCTAATATGAATTACTGGCATCACATGTGGCAATCTTTTTTGTTGTCATTATCAGTCAATTTTTTGAAAACTTATAAGCCAATTTCTTTGTCATTTGGTCTCTGGTGGAGAGTTGTCTCATTTGCAATCATACCACATGTACATCGTCTTACTTTTAAGATAAAAAACAATCCTGAGCATGCATATCATCATTTTATAGGAAAACATTGAAAAACAATCTATTTTTTTTTAGTCCTTTCCCTTTCCATTTTTCCTGGAGACTGAAATGATAAATAAACAGCAATACAATTTCTTCTTCTGACTGTTGGACTCACCATGACCAACAAAAAAAGAAGAGTCCTTAGTGAGAACCCTGTATAATAATAATAAGATTTAAGATGAATGGTCAATGGTCAATGCCTAAAAATCAATAAGCCTACATGTACATTACACATCTACAAGAAAACTATCAAACACCAGTGATACCGATATATCAGGATTTAACACTGAATCATTCAATTTCAAATCATCATGTAGCCATTTTCATTTTTTTGAATATTCAGCAAGCCTAGAAAAATTAATCTGAGTGGAAAAATATTGTATTCGACTCGATACAGTTGTAATATATGTATGAATTATTAAATTGAAATTTAGTATATGACAAGGTATTTACATTTTATTTGTTTAATTGTTATTTGTAAATATTATTTTGAATTTATATATTGAATGTAATAAAAAATTTGATGAAATTTCAGAATAATAAAATTGTAAGAATTTATTTGTGGAATTTTAATTGAATCTTACTTTAACAAATAAAAATGAAGGGATTTGGTATAGAGGAAACATTATCATAAATATTTTTGAAAACATATACTGGATTTATTATTAGTCCCCTACTGACGAAGTCGAAGGGGACTTTAAGTTTGCACTCTGTCTGTCTGTCTGTCCACCTGTCAGTCAGGCAAATCAGTTTTCCATACTTTTTTTCTTTTTGCTTGAAGATATTGATTTAATATTTGGTATGTAGTTTTATCATGACCAGTTACAGATCAAGTTCGAATTTTGTTCTGATCTGATGATTTTGTGCAGAGTTATGGTCCTTGGACTTAGAAAATATACGCTAATAATCAGTTTTTCCACGTGTTTTTCGTCATGCTTGAAGATATTGATTTGATATTTTGTTATATAGTTTACGCCATTTCAAGTTATAGATAAAGTTAGCATTTTGTTCCAGTACAATGAAATTTTAACCGGTAGGGGACTATGTATTGCCATGCAATACTCTCAGAATGCTTGTTATTTGTGGGATACCAGTTTCCATGGTTACATGATAACTACAAATTTTAATTTTCAACATAGTACACATTTCTATAGGCTTGTTTGCAGAATTTTTTTAAAACCATGAATTCAAATATCCATGAAAAAATATTTTCCCTTTATTCACAAAAAATTGGTAGCCACAAATATAAATGAATCCACAGTTTCTCATTCATTTTCTCTGCTGTTTTTCATCTGGATAGTTGCAGTAAAACTTTCAGTTTCCATCTTAAGAGTCCATCAAGGTCAATACGACTGTTAGATCCTAATATAAGATTTCACCACTATTATATGCCAAAATTTATATACTCTTGGCTCAAAAAATGTATTTTATACTTAAAAATTTAAAATTTAACTGTTTAAAAGTTTTTTTTAGTTATAACCATTTTCAATTAGAAAAATTTGTATAGAAACAAATACCATGTGCAACAAAATGGTGCAAAAAGGAAGTCCATGTGTATCAAAATTGTACAGAAATACATACCATGTGCAATGAACTGGTACAAAAATGTCATGGTTATGAAAATGTACAGAAACTAATATCACATGTGACAAAACAATACAGAAATTAAAACATTCAGTGCCAATATGTCCAGGTACCGTGAAATAAAAATAACATAAGTGACAAAATTGTATGTGGAATAACAATACAAGTTAAATTATACAACATGTGAAAAAATGGTAAAAGAACAAATAACATACCAGAAAAAATTGTCAAAAAAATCCCCACAGTGACAAAAAATATCCAGAAACATATCCAATACACTCTAATAGTTACAACTTACGGTGTATGAACATGCAATGTATGACAAAATTATTATGTAGGACAAATATAAACAAACAATTACAATGTGTTACATAATAAACAAGAAACAAATACCATTTTTGACAAAGTACAGAAGCAAATACAATCTGTGATAAAATTGTGAAAAAAACATACAATGCTTGATGCATTGTTCAGAAATAAAAGAACAAAGATAAAAATAGAAACGAAATAGGTATAGAGAGTTGCAAATTTGTTAAGTAAGTCAGTAAAAAAAAAAGAAAGAAAGATGACAAATATTGTAAAGAAACAAACACAATGTTTGAAGTAAAAATTGAAACAATTACCAGATTATGAAACTGTTAAGAAATAAACATGAAACAAGATTGTATACAAAAAATTGCATGTTGGACAAATATAATGAAAATACACAAGACAAAATTGTGACAAAAATTGGAAAGAAAAAAATACCATGCACTAAAATACCAACTGCGAAAGCATTGTGCAGAAACGATTACCGCATAACGAGAAAAAATATCTTTCATTTTCTTTAAAAAATCTTGCAATGAATAGTTTTACAACAAACCATTGCATCAGTTTCATTTTAATTATGAATTGCATCAGCTGACTTTTCTTACTGCATTTGGTATTCCTTGGACAATTTAATCATTCAAGTATTTCAAGATGTATTTCTGAATGTTAATCCCTCGCGATTTCTAAAAGTTGCTGACTCTAGACGACACAAGTAACATAATTGGACGTACGAATATCGGATAGCCACGAATATAAATGGAAAGAAAGCCCAATGACTATTAATAAGAAACGTAAGAAGCATTTCTCATGCTCACCGGAAAAAAACAGGAGTATACAAGATGACTGAAACATTTTCATTGTATAATGGTAAATCTGACGGATAAGGATATGGCAACACAAAACTTCAAACATTTAGCAGGTGAAAAATACAACTTGAAAAAGCATATATCACCTCTATTCCTAATTATTGATCGAGGTGGATCTCACACTTATGCGATCTTAAAGATAGCTTATATTGCAAGCATGACCAGACAAAAATATCTTTATTAAAATTTTAGGTACCGGTACTTACTAGAGATTTGGGAATGAATCAAGCTGGTTAATATTTTTTTAAATTTGTCTCCCTTTGTACACAATAAAACACAAGTTTATGTTCTAAATAACGACTCTATATTAACAAACAGATTTTAAAATAGAACTTTGCGATACATTTTGCAAGTTATGGCAGCAAAAGAAAAAGCGAGTTGGAAATCATCAATTAATGATACTGGAGAATATGTAAGAAAGCAGTCAAAATTTAGGAACTTTATTACAGGTAAAAACATTAAATATATTTTTTGAAATAGCTTATAAAAATCCTTTTCTATCAGCAAGGATACACCATAATTTAAACAGGTAATAAATGTTTGTCAAAACCAAGGTTAAATATATGTATACTTTTAATTAATATCTAATTATGAGGAATAACAGAACTGAGCAGATAGAAGAACCAGAATTCCAATGTTGAACACATATGATGGACACAATGTTGTGTCCCAACTATTATAGCTATGATCATACTATTGAAAGAACTGTTGGAAAACCGAGCGCATTGAAATTGGTATCATATGTTTTATCTGGGACTGTTATACTAACATAGTCCCAGGTTTTATGACTATAGCTGTGTCATTGCCAGTACACGAGGCCCAAACCACACTCGTGCGACAGTAGCTTCATTACTTGTATGGTTTAAGGATATATGGATATATCTTGATTGTAAATTTCAGGTTTCAACTCCTTCAGGTAAAAATTACCTCACTTGATTTTGCCTGTCATGTTAAAAGCTCTTTTTATCTCACCAAGCCGACGGTCGTGTAAGCTTTTACCATCACTTGCTGTATGTCGTCTGTCGTCCGTCCATTATCTTTCACATTGAGACAGCTGAACACAAAGAATCCAAATTTGGCAGAGATGTACCTTCCCGGGTGTTGTAACCGGCTTTGTACACCTATGTTTAAAACATGGCCACTATGGCTTTTCTACTTTCTGATAGGCTGAATTTAGAAAAACTTCTTCCCAGGAATGGCTGAACCAATTGAAACCAAGCTTAAGCATATATTATTATGAAAGTCCTTATAAGTGTTATTAGATCTTATTATTAAGGTGTTGATTGAAAATTCAAAATAACCGTCATAGTTTATTTTGAAACCCTATAGGAATTCATTTTGCTTTTCTCAAACTTTTGGTCTCGAAAGTACCAGATTAAGATTATTGAAACACGTGTTGTGCACATGGATATCATATAGTATGCATTTTTTTACCAGCACTTGACCGGCAATGCTGCTAATGACCTGGCCTGACTATCAGTCCCCGAAAGTACCATCCTTCCAATAGCCAGTGCCTAGGCATTGACGTGTATATTTCGTCTGTAAATTTCTAATTCATATAATTATACATATATACATTTTAAATGTATTTAAGTTTATGTTGCAACTCACTCCGGCAAAGTTATCATAATATTGGTTTATCCGTGTGTATTTAGGCCCGCTTGATATTAAAGCTATCAAGTTCCACGTTCAAGTTAATATATTGATGTCTTTCCAAACTTTTGGTCGCGAGAGTACCTAATGTCATTTTGTACGCACGGTAATTGCATCATGCGCTTTTTTTTTATTTAATAAGGGGAATGATATGTTTTTAATCTAAATTTGGAATTATGGTTGATAATTCTAACTAGAAAACATTGCACCAACTGACTTTGGATGATGGTTGAATGGTTAAACATGCATATAGAAATTTGCTTGAAACAAATTTTAATGAAAGGGTTTCATAGTTCTCTAACCAGATAATTGAAGTGGCAAACTATGGAAAATGAAAGGAAGTATTTATTGTTGTTTATTATTTAACCTTATCAAGTTAGAGACGAGTAAACAGAAGCCATGTGAGCAGTAGAAACTTTTTATGCCTCTAGGTTTGTCATCTTATGTTATACATTCGTAATTTTAGTTTTCTATCAATGTTCTTTGTGAAAGGTCTAACATCTTTCAACAGAAAGAGCTAATGGCATGATGAACAAACATATTCAGTTCAAATCTGATGGTCTGACGATTTTAAAGATCTCCTGGGCTCTCATAAATACTGCCGATTCCAATTAAAATGTTGTAATGAAATCCGTAAGGAGTGTTTTATAAGGAGTGTTGTGTCAGGAGTGTTCTGTAAGGAGTGTTGTGTCAGGAGTGTTCTGTAAGGAGTGTTGTGTGTCAGGAGTGTTCTGTAAGGAGTGTTGTGTGTCAGGAGTGTTCTGTAAGGAGTGTTCTGTAAGGAGTGTTGTGTCAGGAGTGTTCTGTGAGGAGTGTTGTGTCTGATAATTTTTTTTTATTCTTGAGCGGAAGTATTCAGCCAACATCAGTGACTCTCTAAGCTAGCTTATTATGGTAACGGGCACATTTTGGCCCTACTTTCTAATATTTGTGCCGTTTTTTATTTCTTTGTTAGCTCACCTGTCCCAAAGGGTCATGCGACCTTTTACAATGACTTGGCGTCCTTCGTCTGTCGTCCGTCCGTCGTCGTTGACTTAAAAAAACCTCTTCACCTCTAAACAACTAGGTCAAATAATACAAAACTCTACCGGAATGTTCCATAGGGTATGTAGTTTTGATATTAAATTCAGGGATTTGATACATTAATAAACACGCGGTTACTAAAAATAGAACATAGGGGTAAAATGCATTTTGGCTTATATATAAATTCAAAGCATCTGAAGGGTATGTAGTTTTGATATTCTATTCAGCATCTGAAGGGTATGTAGTTTTGATATTATATTCAGGGATTTGATACATTAATAAACACGCGGTTACCAAAAATAGAACATAGGGGTAAAATGCATTTTGGCTTATATATCAAATCCAAAGCATCTGAAGCAAAACTGGGAAAAAAATATTAGCAGGTCAAGGTCTGTCTCCTTTAAAATTTTCAGAAAAATCGGACAGCCGATTTTGGAGTTATTCCCCCTAAAATGTAATATTTTTAAAGATAAATTCAGTTTTTGGCTTATATCTATAAAAACAAAAACAGTTAGAGCAAACCAGACGTAGGTAAAATGATCAGCAGGTCAAGATCCTGTGTAATTTTCAGAAAAATAGGACAATCCCTTTTGGAGTTATTGCCCCTATAATGTTTTTTGTATTTTTTCCTCAAATATCGAAGTTTTAGGTTGTTATCTTGTTAAACTATAAAAGAAAAAGAGAAATTTTAACAGCTAAAATGTCATGATGAATAAGATCTACTAGTAAGTCAACATGGACGAAATCGTCAATTAATCTCTTATAGGAGTAATTGCCCTTGTAAGACGATTATTACCACTTTTTTTGTTTTCTTTTTTGTTGATAATATAATAGACAGAAATTGTATAAGCAAAAATGTTAAAAAAACGAGATCTAAAAGTATATAAACAGGGCCGAAATCTTCAATTGCCCCTTAAAGAGGAGTTATTACCTTTGAATGATGATGTTTGCCCATTTTTCCAGAAACCAGAATAGATAGAGAATCTGTAAATTGCAAAAATATTCAGCTAGATAGATCTACAAATAAGTCAACTACATGGACGAAGTCGTAAATTGATCCCTCATAGGAGTTATTGCCCTAACGAGCATGTGTTTATCCATTGTATGCAATGTTTGTAGAAGAAATGATAGAGAGAGAGAACTTATAGATATCAAAGATGTTAAGCAAAATAAAATCTGCGAATAAGGTAAATGGCCGATATTGTCAACTACAGAATTGGTTGCCCCTGAATAACCATTTTACCCATTTTATTTTAAAGAAACTATGAAAGATATAGAGCAGCAATATATAGCAAAAATGTTAAGCAAAAAGATCTACAAATAAGTCAACATGTTCGAAATAAAAAATTAACCCATTAGAGTAGTTATTGCCCTTGAAAGATGATTTTTAACCCATTTTGACGTGGTTTTTTTGCAGAATCTATCATAGATAGCGGGGAAACAGTAAGCAGTGAAAAATGTTCAGCACCAGTAAAAAATTGTTCAGCACCATAGGATCTACAAAAATTCAACATGGCAAAAATTGTCAACCGACTTCTTACAAGAGTTATTTCCCCTAAATGATGATTTTTACCCATTTTTGGCATATTCGTAAAAAAACTTTAGTAGATAGAGAGAAACTGTAAAAAGCACAATAAATCTACAAATGAGTCAGCATGGCTAAATTGTCAAATCCTTGACAGGATTTATTGCTCTTAAATAAATTTTATTTAAATTTTTACAATTTTGACAAATTATCTCGAAAACTTAAATAGATAGGTATAAACTGTAAACAGTAAAATGATCATCAACACAAGATCTACAAAAATATTACTCAATAAGATTTACAACTGATTGCAGTACTGGTAAAAATATCAAAATGGCATATTTTTACCGGGTGAGCGATTCAGACTTTTGTGATCTTCTTGTTCAATATAGTGGTTATTCTGTTGGTATGTAGGTTTTTAGAAAAGATAAGATGGCTACCGACGTTTATGGTCGTGTTGTATCGTCTAGTGATTTCAACAGTGAATTATCTGATTTAAATCAAACTACAAACATTGAAAATGAGCCCTGTGGTTTACAAGAAGTACACGATGATACTTTCAGGGAGTATTTACCCCAAAACAGTCAAATTGTCCAAATTTTGACCGAGATAAACACCCCAAGTCGTTCATATGTAAACAACAATGACGCCATTGACGAATACCCAGAAACTCAGAACTCTCAAATAGCCGATTTTGTACCGAATCAAGAATTTATATCCTTGTTAGACCAAGAACTCTCTGATCTTCCAAGAGATTCATATGTATTACACCCCAGTTCTATTGTTGTACTTCATAGTTTCTATTTCTGAAACAAGTGTAAATTGAATAGATCTATTGTTACGAATAACAATGGATTTTGACCACAGGGTGTGACGAGCGGGGTTTCTGGAAACCCCTGCTTCTACATCCCGCAAACAAAGTCCATTGTTATTCGTAACAATAGATATTGATTATGAACATAAGAAATTACTAATAGTGTTCACTACAAATTGTTTCATGATATTAAAAAAAACACATTTTAGGAAATTCCAATAAGCATCTATATGGAATACAAAAATAATCATTTAAATACTTTTTTGCTTGAAGGTAATTTTTTTTTATCCCAGTCATATGTCTCTATTCTAAAGCATTGATCTTTAAAAAAAATTTGGATTCTAACTCCCGGACCCCCCTCCCCTGGTTACCCAGTGGCCGATCCGGGGTTGGGGGTTCCGCGGGTTGGACCCGACTTTTATTTAAAAGATCAA